CCCCAAAACCCCAAAACCCCAAAACCCCGTGTTAAAGTAATGAGAGATAAAGTGATGAAATCAAATTTAAAACTTTAATTTAAATTCAATATTGTCATAATGCAATCATTTCCTCAATGAATTAAATGTTAATTTAGACTGTGTCAGTTTCCCCCCTTGAGATTGATAGACTTGATCTCAGCTATTCTCTCCTCTAAGGTCTTAATCACCTGCTCCAGAGTCAGTTAGAAACTGTCACTTATCTTCTCAAAAGTAGAGATAAAGAACTCCTCAGCCTTCAAGGGTGTAAAGCCACTTCCTTTGGTCTTCGCCAGTATCTCCTTGAACTAAAGGAATTCTTGCTTCATATTGATTTGATTAAAGTTTTCCTGAAGAGCTCTCTCCTTGTGCACTTGAGTCAAATATTCATGGAGATGTTTCAAATGAGTTATAAGATTTGAAACGAATTCTCTAATGGCATGTCTGGTTAGAGTGATCTACTCTTAATCTTGTCTGGAAAATTCTTCGTTGTCCTTTTTGAAGCCAGCAGGAATGATCTTTGCCCAGAGATTGATAATTGCCTGGGTGAAGGTCAAGGGGAACATGATCAAGAATATGGCTGATCTAAGTTTGAACAGATTGAACTCCTCCAAATTCAAGAAAAATACATTCTACTTCCTCTCTCGTTCAGCCTATGTCTACTACTCTGCCTCTTCTTTAGCTTTGTTAACATCCTCCTTTAAGTCCAATTCAAAGATATAATCAACGTGAGTCTTCTTGCCCACAGTCACATATCTCTTTCTCTCGACTAGAGTGTATTCTGAATCCTTAGTCAACACCTTGCCACTGCTTGTTTTCAATTCTCTGATAACCACCTTAGTAGGCACTATTTTGTAGATCAAATCCCTCATAGTCATCTCTATTACTTCAATGCAGCGGTGAATGTGATTCCATCCAATACAGTTTACTATGAACTTGTCTATCTTCTTTTGTCTGTTCTCCAAGAATCTTTTATAGTTCTTACTGTAGTAATGGAGTTTGTCTGCCTTCTTTTTACCTTTCTTGGTTTTTTACTCTTCTTCCTCCTAGTCTCCATCTTTGTTAATGGTAGTCAGTATTCTCATCACACTCTCAAAGAGCAGTAGTATATAGTTGAAGGAGTGTATCTTGAATTCCTCATAGAAAGCCCTTCTTAAATGCCTCTAGTTTTCATACTCCTTCATAAAGGGAGAGTTCATATCAATCCTCTTTAAATACTCAACAGCACTAAGTTCCTTGCCTTCGTTAATCTTCTCATTATATTCAAGAAGCTTATTAACTATTTTCTCATATGTGACTGATTCTTATACCTGCTACTGATAAGCCATACTCTCTGCTCCGACAGGCTCACCTTTAGTTTCCTCTTGCTAGATTTACTGTTAAGCTTGTAATTTCTCCATTGTTTGATCTTTGATCTAGGCTAGTTAATTCTTAATGATCTTTTCAAGTGCTGCTAGCTCTTAAGTCTCCAGCTCTCTCCTTTATAACTCCTCCTATGATGCATATATCTTAATCGCTGATTTAACAACTGAAATAATGTTCTCAAATTTCCTCAAGAAGGCCAAGGATAGTTCATTCTTGAGCAGAAGGAAATAGTTCATATCTATGTTGAGTTATTCAAACTTTTGCTCATAACAGTCTTTCAGACATCTCATTACTTAACCCAAGAATTTAAGTACTTTTGGATACTTATAACCAAAGACTCTGATATTCTTCTTCTCTTATTTGGCTCTCTTCTCCTTTTCTTTTTCTCTCTTTATTTTAGCCTAGTCTTTATCGTAAGTTGCTTCAATAAAGGAGTCCTCTTTGATAAACTCTCTTGGCAAACCTAGCTTTATATTTTCAAAGCTTCTGATCTCTAAGTCTCTCTTGCTCATATCTTGAAGCGAATCATCATCACAGACATCATTTACAACTTAGAACTACTTGTTGAAGATATTGTGAAGATTTTAGGCATTAATTGCATTTCTGAATATATTGATATAGATCAATCCAATTTCTGAGCAGACCATGAAATACGAGTTGTTTAAAGTATCATTCTTTGTCATGATCTCATTTACCTTGTCAAATTCTCTTTATTAGAAACATTGAACAACTCTGTTCTTGTTCTCATTGAAGTTCAACTCATAATGTCTTTTGTACTATTTGCATACTTGCTCAAGTTCTTTGTCTACTCCATATTCTGAATAGTGCGAAAATCTGATACAGCCTAATTTTTCATAATCACTCTAGTCTACCTTTTGAATACTCTTAGAGAGATCTGTAAGTAAGGTTGTCAAGCCTAATTTGGCATATATTTTCATTAGCCATGCTGTAAAAGTCTTATTCTATGGGCTTCTTTTAAGTGCATACTCCAAAATTGATATTTGCATAAAGTTTATGGGATTGAACACAGATGGCTCATAGGTCTTGATTTCATTTAACAATTCAACTGAGATAATTGCCAAATCTTCTAGGTTTTTATAGTCAGCCTCTACCATGTCTTGCTCATTTTAAGCAAAGCCATAAAGGTATGTCTAGAATATGCTATTGACTAGTTTTAGCTTTTCCTACTTTTCATAGTTGTTATAGATTCCAAGAAGTTTCGATATCTTGAATAGACATATCTTCCATCTGATGAGTTTGATATCAGGAACCTATTATGATGCAGAGTTGTAACCGCTTTCCAAGTTTTAAACTTTAATTTTGATCTTTTCTCTTAAGGAACTTGCATCTTCAATCTAGAACAGTCTGATGTAAGGCACAATATCACAAATGACATCGGCTTTATCATAGAAAAGCTCGATGTAGTCAAGCATGACATTGAAGATAGGACTCCCTTCATGACACGGATACCCTTTGCAATTTAAGGCTATGCAAAACTTGAATTCCATCTCTGCCAGATAGGAAGTGCGCTTAATCTAATTAACCTACTCTACCATTTTCTTAGAAGTAGTATCAGCAACTACATTCTTCCTAAGGTTCTTGATTGAGGAAATAAGGTTAAGCAAGATGTCCTCCGGCTTCTCATCAATAGTTACTGGGTCAAAGTTAATGCCCTTGGTGTCAGATTGATTTAGTAAGTAATCAATATTTGACTTGTACTCATACATTTTTTACTTTGGCAAGAAATCATTAATGATGAGTCTGATGCAAGTTTTATAGGTTTCCCACATCTCTTAGTAATGATTAATGTGACTGTTTAATCTCAGCATGTTGAAGTAGACATTGATTGTTAGAATCGGATTGTTTGATTGCAAGTATAACTCAGCTTCCAGATTTTATCTCTCAATTTTATCAGTAAAGAACTCTGCTTTAAGCTCAATAAAGTCTAGAGCGTCTCTGTATTTTCCTTGCTTCGATAAAATTTTCAGATAGAGTAAGATGAACTTCTTATCAATTGTGAACATAGGCTCCTTCATTAGTTTCAACATTAGCAAGTAAGCAATATCTAAGATTTTAGTTTCAAATTTTAGATTTAAACTTATTAGATACATTGATTCAACAGCCCATTGCGCATGAATTTCTCTCTAAAATGTCTTATAAAGCTGGAGAGCCTAGTTTTGCTACTTTAGTAATTTGTTTTCTCTTACATAGGAGAAGAAAAGCTCCTCGCAAAGCTCCTCACTATCAAGATTCACACTAAGGACATACTCTAAGAGCGAAGTTGTCTCATTATACATTCCCAATTCATTGTAAATATTTATTAGGTATTTGGCTGTGATCGGATCTGAGGGTCTGTTAGATTTGATCTCTGTCAAAAGTTCCATGCAGTCTCCATTCTTGTTTTGTTTCAAGAGACAGTAGGCTTTCATTGTCTTGTAAAATATTTGGTTCAGATTCTTTTAAGACCCTAGAATGAAATTAACAATGATAAAAGATAATTTTTACTCTGATTGCAATACTTAATTGCTTTTGAATAGTCCCCTTAGTCAATATACTCCTGAATAGTCTTTAGTGACTTGGACTGCTCCTTTTTGTCAAATTTATACTCTGTGGATTGCATTTTTAAATTTAGAAATTTAAGAATTTATATATTTTGAAATACTTCATAAATATATCTTATTTATAGTCTTGGGGTTTTGGGGTTTTGGGGTTTTGGGGTTTTGGGG